ACAATTATTGGCCATCTATACTTCTTTTGAGAAATGTCTGCTCAGTTCAATTGTCCATTTACGGATGAGGTTATTTGTTCAGTTGGTGTTAAGTTTTTGGAGTTCTTTATATACTCTGGATAATAGCCAGTGGGCACAATAACACATGCCTGTACTTAGGAGGCTGAGGCAGGAGGATTACAAATTAGGTCAGCCTAGGCAGTTTAGTGAGACCTTGTCTCAAAATAAAAATTAAAAAAGGGTTAAGGTTGTACCTCAATATTAGAGTGCCTGTTCAGTATGCATGAAGAGCTGTGTTCAATCACTAGTACTACAAAAACAAAATATAAATATTCTGGATATTAATCTTGCCAGAAAAGTGGCTGGCAGATTTTCTCTCATTCTGTAGGGTTTCTCTTCATTCTCTTGTTTCCTTTGCCATGCAGGAGCTTTTTAATTTGATCCATCCCATTTGTTGATTCTTGTTATTATTTTCTGAACTACTGGAGTCCCATTCAGGAATCTGTTGGTTGTGCTTATATCTTAAAGTGTTTCTCCCACGTTTTCTTCTAGCATTTTCAAAGTTTCAAATCTTATATTTAGGTCTTTGATCAGTTTTTCTTTTTGCATAGAGTAAGAGAGGGGATCTAGTTTTCTAGTTCCAATGTTGTACAAGGGGATATTTAGTTTTCCCAGCACCAACTCCTTGTTAAAGAGACCCTATTTTCACCAATATATGCTTTTGGCAACTCTGTTGAGAATCAGATGGCTGTAAGTGAATGAAATTTATTTCTGGTCCTCTATTCTAGCCCACTGGTCTACATGTCTGTTTCTATGCCAGCACTGTGCTGTTTTTGTTGTCTTAACTGTGTAGAGTAGTGATGGCAAACCTTTTAGACTTTTCAATAATACAAATAGCCCGCTATGGCACGTGTGCCATAGGTTTGCCACCATTGGTGTAGTGTATTTTGAAACTGGGTATTGTAATATCTCCAGCATTGCTTCTTCAGTTTTTGTGGATCCAAGTACTATCAGATGCCATGTTCTTTGTGCCTAAAGCTCTTTCTTTATTTCTAATAAGGCAGATCTGCCAGCAGTGAAATTGTTCCTGTTTATCTGGGAATAACTTTATTTCAACTTCATTTTTTGGTGATACTGGGAATCAAACTAGGATGTACCACTAAGCTATATCCCCTAGCCCTTTTTATTTTGAGACAGGGTCTCACTAAATTACCCAGGGGGTCCTTGAACTTGTGACCCTCCTGCCTTGGCCCACTAAGTAGCTGCAATTACAGATAACATGCCACGGTACCTGTTTTGACTTCACTTTTAAAGAAGTTTTAAAGCACAAATCTTGGTTCAATTTTTTTGCCTTCTGAATGCTTTGAATATCATTCCACTGCCTTCTGGCCTCCATTTTTAATAAGGGAAGCCAGTCATTCATTATATTATTCTCTTTTTTAAAATTATTCTTTTCTTTTCTTTTTTGGTACCGGGAATCGAACTCGGGTGCTTGCGCTTGTGAGGCAGGTGGCAGAACCACTGAGATAAATCCCCAGCCCTATTCTTTTCTTATATAAGTCATTGTGCTGCTTTCAAGATTTTTCTTCCAGTAATTTGATTATGACATACCAAAATGCAGTTGTCTTTGTGTTTATCTTACTTGGGGTCCTTAGGCTAGTGTTTTTTGTCAAACTTGAGAAGTTCTCAGCCATTATAACTTCAATTTTTTTTTCTCCCCTTTGTCTCCTCTCCTCTGGGGTAACTATTACTGGTGTAGTAGGAGACACTATGTATGCATAGCTAGGAGTCAGCCAATGATTTAGGTGAAGGTTGTAACCAAACATCTCAAGGATTAACCATTTGCTGATGATCTGTGTACCAGTTAGAGGATGCATCCAAAGTTGGAGCTGATTTTCAAGGTTCTTGCATTTCCTCCACATATGAATAATTTTCCAGTCAGTCAGGAATAAGCAAGAGTTCATCTCCTTCCATCTATGGCTCTCAAATTTCCAGGATATTCCTTAACATGGAAAGGTTTACTCTTTTCATTTCCACATCAACCACTTTTAGCTGGCAAAGATAAAAGTTCCTACTTTCAATTTCTAGTCATCATCTTGAATGAGTATATTCCCTCAGGCAGCAAAGCATATAGTTTTGTTGTTTTTTTCTTTTGGTACCAGGGATAAAACTCAGGACCTTGCGCTTGCAAGGCAGGCAGCAGAACCACTGAGCTAAATCTCCGGCCCAAAGCATATAGTTTTTGCAGTTAGCCCTATGCTGGGAAAAGTACTATTCTCACCAACTAGGTCCTCCCCAACCCCTTTGGTACTGGATATCAAACCTAGGGCCTCACACGTGCTAGACAACTGCTCTACCAATGAGCCACATCCTCAGTACTTTTTAAAAATTTTATTATGAGATAAGGTTTCACTAAGTTGCTCAGACTGTTCTTGAACTTGTGATCCTCAGTCTCTCATGTAGCTGGGATTCCCTCTTTTTTGGGTACATCATAACTTAGTAGAATTTGCTTCAAACAAATTCATTATATTTTCCTGCCTATGAAGAAAAACCCTAAGAACAAGGTTTGATGTTAAAGATTAATACAACTTTTGAAAAGTCATATATTCTATTTTTTTTTCATATATTCTATTTCTTTATGTGAACTCAAATGTTTTCAGAAATTAACTTTGTTCCCATTATCAAAATATTTGTAAATTCTGGCAAGTGACACAAAGTAATATTTTTAGGTTAATTAATATAAATCTTTTTTCCTAGGTATGTGGCTTAATTAAAGTGGTTCCGACACATGCCTCACAAACACAAGATCCTGAGTTCGATCCCTGGTACCAAAAAACCCCACCATACAAATTATATAGGTTGTTTAGGACTGGGGATTTAGCTCAGTTTGATCCCTGGTGCCAAAAAAAAAAAAAGTATCATCTTCCTGTCTGGTCCAGAGGACCTAAGAGGAAATCCATACTACTGAATGATATGGCAGAAGGTTGATGCATTCACTGCTGAAAATGCATTCTACCCTTAGCAGGGGCCCTTTGTTTTCGTCTACCAAAAGTATGAAGAAGCATTAGACACCCACATTTGTGAACTGAGCATTCCTGAAATACTAGCTGTGTCACTTTTAATCTGGTCTGATGATCAAACTGATAATGATAAAAAAATTTCCATCGTATCAGTCTAATGTGGTGTATGTTATCACCATAAATCTTCATTCACACAAATAAGACTCTTCTCCACAGTTAATTATGAGAATAGCACAGAAACACTAAAGCTGCTAGAAGAGAGAATAGGCAGAACGCTTGAGGACATAGGAGTAGGCAAAGACATCATGAACAAAACCCAGACTGCAAGGGAAATACTACAAAGAATCAACAAATGGGACCTCATCTTATTAAACAGCTTTTGCACAGCAAGGGAAACAGAGTAAAGAGACAACCTACACCATGGGAAAAAAATTTCACCAGCTATTCATCAGACAAAGGACTACGATCTAGAATATAGAAAGAACTAAAAAAAAAAAAACCAGACCCCCCCCAAATATAAAGACCCAATTCAAAAATAGTCATCTGAAATGAACAGATATTTCTCAGACAAAAAAGTAAAAGCTGCAAATAAACATGAAAAAATGGGCCGGGGATTTAGCTCAGTAGCACTGCACCTGCCTTACAGGCACAAGGTTCCAAGTTCGATCCCCGATACCAAACAAAGAAAAAAAGGAAAAAATGTTCAACATTAGTGGTCATTCAAGAGATGTAAATTAAAACAACGCTGAGATTCCATCTCACTCCAAAAAGAAAGGCTGTTATCATGAAATCAAACAATAACAACTACTAGAGGGACTGTGGGGAAAAGGAAACCCTTTTCCATTGTTGGTGGGTGTGTAGACTGGTGCAACCACTGTGGAAATCAATGTGGAGATTTCTCAAAAAACTAAAACTGGGGCCGGGAATTTAGCTCAGTGGTTTCGCTGCCTGCTGCGCAGGCGCAAGGACTCAAGTTCAATGCCCGGTACCAAAAAACCCAAAAAACCAAAAAAACCTAAAACTGGAGGGGCTGGGGATTTAGCTCAGTGGCACCCCGCCTGCCTTGCAAGCGCAAGGTCCTGAGTTCGAGCCCCAGTACCAAAATAAAACAAAAGCTAAAACTGAAGGTTGTATTTGACCTGTCTTGGTATCTTCTCGAAAGAATTAAAACCATCATACCACAGCAATATATGCACACCCACTTTTATAGTGGCACAGTTTGTAATAGCTGAATCTTGGAAGCAGCCCAAATGCCCATCAACTGACAAATGAATAAAGATGTGTTTTTTATACAATGGAGTACTACTTTGCCACAAAGAAGGATGAATTTCAGACATTTATAGCTAAATGGATGAACCCTGAGACCATACTTTTTAAAAAATTTTATTTTATCCCATTCTCCCCCTCAAGCCCCTTTCCCTCCCTATGTACAAATGCTTTGTTTCCATTTTTTCCTTCTATTTGCACTTTTTTTCTTGAGACCATACTCTTTTTTTTTTTTTTTGGTACCAGGGATCGAACTCAGGTCCTTGCCTCTGCGCAGCAGGTGGCGAAACCACTGAGCTAAATCTCTGGCTTGAGACCATACTCTTAAGTGAGATAAATCGAGGACACGTTTAAATACCACATTGTCTCTCTGGTGTGAGAAACAAAGTGGAAACAAGGACTAAAATGTATAACAGATATTGGGAAATAGGAAGAAAATGTTCAAATTGGAAGGGAAACGAGGGAGGAGGGAGAAAGCAAAGAAGGGACAAAAAGTGAAAATAGAAGGAAAAAATGGAAACAAAGCTTTTGTATATGGGGGGAGGGGGCTTAATGGGAGAGTGGAATGGGAAAAAAGGTGGGATGTATCATGTACAGGTGGAAATTCCCTATGATGAGTGTTATCATTATGTATGCCTAAAATGTACCAATAAATGTTTTGCTATAAAAATTATAAGAGCAGCTAGAATAGAATATAGTCGAAAAGAAACCAACCTCTTTTTTCTTCTTCACGTTTTAGTTTATCTTCCTCTATTTCTTTTGGTAATTTTTCCTTTTTTTCTTTCTCCACATCATTATGCAAATGTTTTGTAGTATAGCTGAGTGCTGGAGAAAGAAGGATCTCTCCATTTTTGCAGAGTTCATCACGAATTTTAATAAAAAACTGCTGAAGTTCTACAGCATCCTCATATATTTCGGAATCTGTCCTATAATGGCATCAAAAGTATCCATTGATACAAAAACTGCTTCTTTTAAACACTTCAATTGTATGTTAAATTCTATTAAATGCTCTTTACTATGTTAACTGCTATAATATTTCATTACAGTTCTAAAAGGATATTCTGCCCCCCTGCCGAGGTTTGTAACAACAGACTCCAAAGTGTCATTACCATGGGGGACTTCGTTCCCACCAGTTTCCTTTTCCTTAAGGTTCACTGTTTCCTTAAGGTTCACATGTAAGCAAAGGCCTGAGCATTTTTCCTCAGAGATACATGGCTCATGCATCAATCACAAAAGAACACACCTGTCAGGGTCAAGGACTATACCACGGCTCCAGACAAGTCTAAAACTATATTTTTTTAATTTCAAAGGAACATATTATTTTTTTGGTACAGGGGACTGAACTCAGGACCTTGTCCTTGTGAGGCAGGCATGGGGGCACTGAGCTAAATCCCCAGCCCCAAAAATTTGTTAATCTAAAAAGCAACTGTCCACTGAATGTGCAAGAACAAAATCTCAGGGTGGAAAAAGTACTTACTCTTTCCCTCAATTGGTAGATAACCTTTTTATATAGGCAGTCATTCAGTGAATGGAAATATTTTATAAGAGGCTGTTGATACTTTTCTTATTCTTGGCTTCCCATGAGTGATTCTTTTATTTTTTTCTCCCATCCATCCATCCACCCACCCACCCACCCATCCATCCATCCATCTTTGGTGGTTTGATTTTTGTCCGTCCGTCTGCCCGCCTGCCCGCCCATCTGTCTGTCCAACCATCCATCCATCCATCCATCCATTTTTGGTGATACCGGGGATTGAACCCAGCGCCTCATACATGCCAGGCAAGCACCCTACCACTGAGCTACATTCCCAGGCCTTTAAAAAATTTTTGAGATAGGGTCTCACTAAACTTCAAAGATTGGCGTGGAACGTGTGATCCTCCTGCCTCAGCATATTGAGTAGCTAGGATTATAGTTGTGCACCACTATGGCCAGCCAGTGGTGATGGTGGTTGTTGTAGTTATTTATTTACTGACTGACTGTAGTACTGGGGATTAAACCCAGGGCCTTTGCCCTGAGGTATATCTCTAGCTCTGATTTATTTTTTGAGAAAAGGCCTCTCTAACTTACTTGTTGCCCAGTCACAATACTATCTTTATTCACAAAAGTAAGAATGCTTCCCTTCTGTTTTTTAATACCGCTTTGGGCATGATAAAGAAACTGTTATCTGTAGTACACCTTCATATAAATGTACCCTAGGCTCTATTTTCCAGGTCTCAAAAGCAAAAACCAATCATATCAACAATGGGAGAATGAAAAGAACTCATTTCCTAGAGATACAAATCTGCTTATTCCTTAAAATAAAGATGTTACATATAGTTCTGCTTGTGTTCAAATGATTCAAATATCAAAAGAAAGATTCCTCCACTAAACTACCTTTGTAATATGAGAATGTATTAGTATAAAGTAACAAAATATTTACTATATAAAAAGTAAAAAAAAAAAAGCTACATGAAATAAATATAAACAAAGTTACCAACAATTTAAGAGACAAATGCTATTTGGAAGACCCACAGAACTCAAGATGTAATGGGGTTGGGTATATAGGGTAAGAACAGAGTTGCTTTAGACTTAAGAACAACTTAAAGAACAAGAATGGAATTTTTTTTGTGTGAGACAGGGTCTCACTACATAGTTCATCCTGGCCTTGAACTCAACTATGCAGCCCAGGCTGGCCTTGAACTCATGGCAATCTTTCTGCCTCAGCCTCCCAAGTGCTGGGATTACAGATGCCCGGCCAAGAACGGAAATTTAAGTTCCATGAAAGCAGTGGTTATCTGTTTCACTGGTGTATTCCATGCATCTAGAATATGTTCATTAATTGATAGGCACCCAATAAAAACCTGGAGAATGAAAATCTATAGATTTTGACTACAAGATGTTGCCTATCTTTCTCTATTTTTATCCCTATTGTCAAAATATTAAGAACCATTTCTTAAACATGGCACTTGAGGGCCTCTCCAATTTGGTCTCGACTCCCCCTCTCAAATGCACCATATTCACTTCCTATTCCTTGTCTTTGCTCATTCCTTATTTGAAATATCCTCCCCTCTATTCATTTGAATCCCACCTTTCCTCTGACTCCCTGACTCCTCGTGCCTTTTTAGGTGAACTTGAGCCCACAGGGTTCCTTAAACCAACATCTTTTCTAAATTAGGTTGTGATATGTTTTGTTATGTCTGGAATTATTTTTTCCCTAAGCATAAGTTCTGTCCCATCCATCAAACTTCAAGCTCTGAGAGCTCAAGGATTATCCATGGATGTGCTCCATGATGGTGATGCTCTGCAGAGGGAAACAGGACAAGCCACACCATCAACTAGCTGCAAGGCTTTGGGTAACTTCTCTCACTCTGTGCCTCTAATTCTTTACACACAAACTGGTAAGACTCTCATTTACCTAGAAAAGCTACTATAAGAGCATGATGCTTTATAAAGAGTAGGTGCTCAAGGGGATGAGTAAGTGCTACTACTTATTTTTCTTTTGAAGTTCAGAGCAAATGGCAGCTTCACAGATTCCCCAGCTAGATATCACTCTGCTTAAAGGTGTAGCTCTTGGCACCATAGACTGTAAGGTTTAGGAAGATATGACTTGCATCTTTAATTTTTTGTACTCTCCCAAGTGGCTCCAAGAGGACAGAAGATACAAATATTTACCACAGAGTAAAATTAAAAGGGATTTAAGTTTGATATAAAAGAGTATTTTTAATTTAAAAATTTTAAAAAAATTTGTAAGGCCTGGGGATTTAGCTCAGAGGTTCTGCTGCCTGCCTCGCAAGCGCAAGGACCCAAGTTCGATCCCCAGCATCAAAAAAAAAAAAAAAAAAAAAATTTGTGTGTATACTGTGCTGGATATTGAACTCAAGAGACTTGTGCATGCTAGGCAAGTGCTCTACCACTGCACTGCATCCCCAGCCCCCTTCTTTTAGAACATTTAATGTCTATAGAAAGTTCTTAGTGAAAAATCTGAAGTTAAAAAAAAAAAAAAGATACCTTTTTAGGTGTCTGAATGGTGGTCAAATTTTTATCAGTGTAACCTCAGAACAATAACCCAGAGCTATTTATTTAAAGCACTCATGGACTAAAGTCAAACTTTAAAAGAAAAATCTTATTGCTATTTCTAAATACTATTTCAAATTATAAGCACTTATTCTTTAAGAAACATGTTTTGGGCCAGGGATTTAGCTCAGTGGTTTCGTCGCCGGCTGTGCAAGCACAAGGACCCAAGTTCGATCCCTGGTACCAAAAAAAAAAAAAAGAAAAAAAGAAACATGTTTTGTGAAAGGCTGCATTTTAAGTATATGCTTTCCATGACTTTAATTCTGATGTCCTTCCTCTCATTGGGCTTAATTTAGATGACTCAGTAGGGCGCCCTCTTCTTTCCCCAAGGATATACTTGCTCTTTAAGAAGTTTTGGCTGCCTAGAACTCAGGGCTCCATTTTTTTTTTTTTTTTTTTCTCCTGTACCAGGGATAGACCTCAGGACCTTGCACTTGGCAAGGCAGGCACAGTGCCATTAAGCTAAATCCCTGGCCCATCCTAGAACTCAGAATAGCATGATATTAACTATAATCATGTACCTAAGATGAAACAGTACATCAAAAAGTTTTTCTTCATCTATTTTGCATTAAATATTACATATCCTCAAAAACAAATGGCTTTGAAAACATACCGATTCATCCTTCTTGCCCTTTCCAATACGTCAAACATATGCTCTTGAAATAAGTCAAGCCGCCGGTAGCGATTATTTTCAACATTCTTCCTAATAATGTCAAAAGTAAGGGGAGGTTTATTAGGAAAATTGGGATCCACAGCAGGAATTTCTGCTAAGGAATCACTGTAGCATCTTCCCTCATCATCCTGATGACTCATGACTGACACAAAAAGATTATGGATAAGCTCTTGAATCAGCAAAGTCACATTTGGGACATGAGAGTCCTCATCTCCCTCCAGGTCTCTCCGCGTTTCAAGCAGGACTTTGTGTAGGACAAGAGCATCTTTGTAGATCAAAGACTCAGGCTCATTATACGTACAGGCATTGTTAAACATCATGACAAAATCTTCAACCATAGAGTCTATATCTTGGTATTTGTTCGCCATCATGTGACTTCGAATTTTTTCCATGTCCATGGGCTTTTTAATTGTCAGATAGTAGTCAGGCAGTTCAGATCTGGAGGGAAGCCTCAGAAATATGGCACTGAGGCGGCGACCTCTCTTATCAGTATAGTTCTTAACAGCTTCATAAACTTCATTTAATTTCTGCTGCATTGGAGTCATGTATTTTGATTTTTTAGGAGAAACACCACTCTTTCTACCTGAAAAAAGAAATATAAGATTAAATGGATAAAATAAAAGAAACCTAACTTTGTATATAGTCAGTAGTATAATAGTAAGAAAGGGTCTATCCCAAATGATTTATAAAACATCTTTAATTAACATGTCTTTAGTGAAATAGGTTCTATAGCTAAAAAAGTTTGGGGTTTTTTTAGCAGTTTTTTTTTTTTTTGGTGGTATCGGAGATTGAACCTGGGTCTTTGTACTGAGCTACACTCCCAGACCTTTTATAAAAAATGTATTTTTCTAATGATTAAAACCCTACAGAAAACTGGAATGGATGATCTTTATCTCAACCTGATAAAAGCCATCTATGACAAATCAACACCCTATTACATGGACAAAAACTGAAAGCTTTCAATCTAAAATCAGGAACAAGACAAGGATGTCCATTGTCACCACTCTTATTCAACGGAGTTTTGGCAACATTAGCCAGAGCAATTAGACAAGAGAAAGACATAAAAGGAATAAGGATAGGAAAGGAAGAAGTTAAATTATCATTATTTGCGGATGACTTAATACTCTACATAGATCCCAAAAGTGCCACCAAAAGACTTCTAGATTTAATAACTAAATTCAGCAGCATAGCTGGATACAAAATCAACACTCAAAAATAAATAGCCTTCCTGTTTACAAATAATAAACTTACTGAGAGAGAAATTAGGGAAACAACACCTTTCACAATAGTATCCAAAGAAAGAAATATATAGGAATCAATCTAACAAAGGAAGTAAAAGACCTCTACATTGAAAACTACAGTACTCTGAAAAACGAGATCAAAGAGGGTATCAGAAAATGGAAAGATATGTCTTACTCTTGGGTAGGAAAAACTAACATAGAGAAAATGGCCATACTTCCAAAATTGTTATACCGATTTAACGCAATGCCGATCAAAATTCTAATAGCATATCTCACTGAAAACCAATTCTAAAATTCATTTGGAACCAGAAGAGACCTAGAATAGCAATGGCAATTCTGGGCAATAAAGGCAAGGCAGGGGCATCACAATTCCTGACTTGAAATTATAGTACAAAGCTACAGTGATAAAAACAGCATGGTACTGGCAAAAGAACATTTATGGCCATTGTGCTTGTGAGGCAGGTGTGGAGCCACTGAGCTAAATTCCCGGCCCTAGGATTCATTTTTGAATCTAGAATTCACCAAACAAACATACAAAAAGACAAAACAAAACTGTCACAACTCTCTGACAAGTTTCAGATATAGAAAAAAATATCTATTCTTATTTACTATTTAATGTTTAGAAAATGTTCACTATACATATTTGAGAAAGTAAGCAAAACCTCTGTTTTTGTATTCTGTTCTCCACGCACTCTTCACTATTTACTTAAACCACAGTAAAAGTGTGCTTGAAAAGAGAGAAGAAACTCCTCACTGCAGGGCCAGTGGGTTCAAATATGTTTATCATTTAATTAAATATTAACAAAGTGTGATGCCATCTTACTCAGCTTGAGTTTGGGAGAAGCCATGTCATCATCATCAGGCAGTGGGCCCAGCTCTTTCCTTTTATCCTTGAGTAACTTCTCCAGGATGTGTGCATCATTATATACCTATATTCCAAAAATACATTTAAGATTATTTTCTAGGAAACTTTAAGGTGTGACATACATCTTTTAGGCCTTTTTTTTTTTTTTTTTTTGAGGCAGGTTCTTGCTATGTAGTTCAGGCTATCCTTGAGCTCACTGTGTAGCCCATGCTGGCCTTGAACTCATGGCAATCTTCCTGCCTCAGCCTTATAAGTGCTGGGACTCCAGGAGTGCACCACCACACTCAGCAAGGTGTAACATACATCTATAAAGAAAATTTTTTAAAAGTTTAGAATCCTTGTAGGTTTTTTTGTTTTTTCTTTTTTTTCTGGTACTGGGGATTGAACTCGGGACCTTGTGTTGCGAGGCAGGCAGCGGCAGCACTAAGCTAAACCCCTGGCCCCTTGTTTTGTTTTTCTGTTTTTTGAGACAGGGTCCCAGTATGTAGTTCAGACTGACCTTGAACTCACTATGTAGCCCAGGCTGGCCTCTAACTCAGTGATTCTCTTGCCTCAGCCTCCAGACTGCTGGGATTACAGACTGTGCTTCCATGCCCAGATCCTTGCAGGTTTTAAGAGAAGTATTTACATGTTGTTTTCCTCAGAAACCTATCTTCCTCTGGACCTTCAAGGTACCAGATACCCCAATGGAAATTAGAGATTTAAAATATCTGATAGTTAGAGGGCAATATCTCAAATTTTGTTAAATCTCAAACTTGAGTTCACAGCCTAGAATCTGATTTGTTAAAAAACAAAAACAAACCTTGCTTAGGAATCTCTCTCTCTCTCTCTCTCTCTCTCTCTCTCTCTCTCTCTCTCGCTCTCTCTGAAGACTAAGATCAGTGTGGTAAGATGTAGTGAAGAACAAGATTACTCACCTGATGGCCTTACCTTCACAGCTGCCTCCTACCTCTCCAGCAAAGGGTATGTCTTCCCCTGATCACCCACCAAAGCAGCTGAGAAGGAGTAAGTGACCTTTTTTTTGTTTTTGGTCACTACTCTTTTTTTTTTTGGTACTGGGGATCAAACTCGGGACCTTGCGCTTGCGAGTCAGGCTGCAGAACCACTGAGCTAAATTCCCACCCCTTGGTCACCACTCTTAAGGGTGGCTTTTATTTCTGCAAGTGATAGGAGGTATAATGGCCAGTGATGCTAAGGACAGGATTACCTCCTATTACAGAGAAGCATTTTTTGACCTACAAGTATTCTCAGTACATATTTATTTTCAATTCTACGGATTGAACCCAACAGCTGTGCACTTTATATGCTCTACCAATGAGCTATATCCCCAGCCCTTTTTAAATTTTTGAGACAAGGTCTCACTAAATTGCTCATACTAGGCTGGAAATTGTGGTCCTCCTGCCTCAGCCCCGAGGATAAGGGATTGTAGGCATGTACCACCATACCCGGTAGCACATACTTTTATATTCAAATGTAACAGCAGAAGACAGGAAATAAATGAAAATGTCAGTGAGGTCCTGAGTTCAATACCCAGCACTACCAACCCCTCCTACCAACTAATCTGACAATCAAGATGCTTCATACCAAAATCAATTATTTAGAGGTGCTTTGATGGGAGTATTATGCTTATTTTCATATAAATGCACAATTTCATGAACTGTCTTTGGAGAAGTATGGCCACTGAAGATAGTAATAGTAATGATGATGTGGCTGAGGGTGTAGCTCAGTGACAGCACCATTTCAAAAAAATAAAAATTTGAAAGATTTTATGCTATTTGGATTTCTTTTGGGTACTTATGCAATATCAAGCACGATTCTAAATGCTCAGTATACACTATCTTTTTAAAATTTTAAAATAACCCCAGTATAAGTACTATCATTATTCCTAAATTATACATTAGGAAACTTACACAGGGACTGGCAAAGCAGAACTCAAATCTAGAATGACTTTCATTTTATTTTATTTTATTTTTTGGTACTGGGGATCAAACTCGGGTCCTTGCGCTTGCACAGCAGACAGCAAAACCACTGAGCTAAATCGCCAGCCCATGACTTCCATTTTAAACAATTAAGAAAAAGACAAATGAATCTAGCCATCAAGAATAATGTAGGTTAGGTCTAGAGCTGGTCTTTCAAAATACATTATTCTACTAGAACCCAAAAGAAAAGGTGTCTATTTCAGGACCCTCATCTGTCCTCACCTGGGAGCCCTCTTCATTGTAGTGCCTGGCATTCCGGAACATCAGTTTCATGTCTTCTATCATTCCCTCTTCACCTGCATATTTGTCATTGCGGATGTTATGCTCAATTATTTTCAAGTCCATTGGTTCCAAGATGATTTTATAATAATCAGGATAGTCCTTCTTGGATGGTTTGACCATAAATAGATCACAAAGTCTTCTGCCTGAACCTGGCTCTCGAGCTTCAAGAACAACATTGAATAAGATTTTCATTCGCTGCTTTCTTATGTTCTTTTTACTGTTGAAGGGGGAGGTAGAAGGGAAAAATGGGTAACAGGTTCAGTTTTCTTTATACAAGGATGAACATGAAATGAAACAAATTAAAATCTTGAGGATAGGTGCTCCATAGTGATTATAATATACTGATTACATATGCCACAAACACAGTAAACATGTTGGAAGCTATAAGCAAATACTAGGAAAATTTCCAAGATAGCAAAAACATAATGACTCTGGCAGGGGTAGCCAGTGACCAGCAGACAAACCTGTTTAGAGTATCTCATGAAATGCAATGGTTGAAAAAAAGATTTGTTCAACATCAAAAGAAACTTTTAGCATTAAAGGAAATACAGTCCTTTGTTTTTAAGACAAAGTAGAGCAATAGTGCAATAAAACTAGCTATTTTCTATTGTTAATAATATCTTCACTTCCAAGCACAATAAAAACGAAACAAAGAGAAGTGCTCCACCTCCTAACCACCCCAAAACAACAGTATATTCTGGTTGCCAGAAAACAAGACTGTCTACCAGGTTAGAGTCTCTATAGTGGGTATCAGATTTCTGCATTGATCACATTAGGTTTAATTTCTATTTCCCCCCCTCCACCAGCATTACTGTACAATTTCAACCTAGCTTAAAGAAGCGGTTTATGGGGCCAGGGATTTAGCTCAGGGATACCATGCCTGCTTCACAAGTGCAAGGTCCTGAGTTCAATCCCCAGTACCAAAAAGAAGTGGTTTATGGTTCATCTGAGCTCTCTAGAGAGTAAATTTTCACCCTTGAGGGTGAATCCTTGTCTTGTTTCCAAATTCCCCAGGTGAGGTATGATGCTGAGAAACTGATAGAACAAAGTACAAAAACTACAGCCTAGCACCAGAGTTCAAAAGGGGGCCCAAGACAGCAGATGGTTTCATCTACAAAAAACTGGCTCAGAAAGGAAAATGAGGGCCAGGGATTCAGCTCAGTGGTTCCGCCACCTGCCTCACAGGAGCAAGATTCCAAGTTCGATCCCCGGTACCAAAAAAGAAAGGAAAATGACTTCCCTAAGGAGAGTTGTTCAGAAAATTAGAAGAGATGATCTTTCAATACAGTTTCTTTTCTGTTGTTGTATGTTTTTTGAGTCCTGAACTCACTATGTAGTCCAGGCTGGCCTCAAACTTGCAGTAATCCTCCTGCCTCGGTCTCCTGAGTGCTGGGATTACAGGCATGTACCAGCGTGCCTGGCCCAATACAATTTCTGGTCAACTGTTCTTATAGTTTGCAGGATATTGGTAAAGAATTTCTAACCAAACTCCTAACCAGTCTGCAAGTGAACAGTCAGGTATATAATAACAAGGAATGACTTATAACTTTGTTTCTATTCAACAAATATTTACTAAAAGCCTGTAACACTTGGAGGTAAATATTTTGTTTCCTATTCTATAAGGAAAAAGAAGTTCATTCTGGAAGCACACTTTCTGGCTGTATGGGTCTCTTAGTCTAATCCTCTGACTCACTCTACTGCTGGGTCATGTGGACCTGGGATCATTCTTGCCATTTTCTTCCATCATTTCTTTTGTGGCTGTGTTTTTGTTAGATAATCTAGGAGATGTTTTGGCTATGGATACGATTTCTCTAAAGAAGCATCCTGCAGAGATAATGTAAAATAAGAAGTTCTCTCACTCTGTTTTTAGCACCACTAAATCAAAACAAAAGGAAGACTCAATAATTCAAGTTTGAAGCCCTAATCATAAAAGATCTGACTAATCAATTCAGAATGAAATCCATCCTCATTCCAGTGAAGGCCCTGATCTAGACCAGGAGATCAGTCCTATCACCTTCCAGAATTCAGCACACTATTCCTAATTACCATTTGGCTTTTCTCTATAAAGCTACAATTATGCTCATCTGGGACCAGGACAAACCTAGAGCATTTCTGTTTTAAGATAGGCTCTTGAACTTGTGATAGGCTGGCATAGCACAGGCTGGCCTTGAACTCTTGATCTTTCTGCCCCAGCAAACCATGTGCTGGGACTACAGGGTGTGCACCACCAGGACCATCTTAGTTCAGATTTTTATGAGATTTTTAAGAAAAGAGAACGTTTTTAACTGAATTTTCAAAAGAAGGTAAAAGAAGAGTAAATGGTCCATTCTTTCAATGCCAATAACTTTGACACTTGTTAGCTTTAAATGAGACATACTGATAATATGAAATCTAATTGTAGATAAAAAATTGCTCTAGGCATGTGTGGTGGCACACACCTGCAATCTCAGCATTCAGGAGGCCACTGCAGGAAGATAGCCAGGGAAATTGGTTTCTATCCTCCATTCTAGGGTCATAAGTGAACAGCTTCAGTTTTGTTACTGTGTTTACATTTTTCCAGATCCTTTTATTGCCTTTAAGAATGAGAACTACTGGTCTATTAGTTTTAATTTGGTTTCCAGAAAAAACTGAGAAACAGGGTCTCACTAAGTCACTAAGTTGCCCAGACTGTGCTTGAACTTTTGATCCTCCTGCCTCAACCTCCCAGAGTGGTGGGATCATAGGTGTGGCGTGCACACCATGCCTGTCTTCTGCCTGCTGTTTTCATTCTCACCTTGTTTTACAGATTCTTCTTAGAACTCCCATATGAATGCTATTTCTCCCCCTCCTTCAAACTGATCATCAGTTTGTTGACTTCTCCATTTTTGGAGAAGAAACTAAATATTACAACTTGTAGTATTTAACTTGTAAAATCATCTTTTACAAAATACTTTTGAATATACTAAAGTAAAATACATCTTATGGGAGTTCAAAACCAGAGCTGTTCATCACTGAGCATACAAGGGGCCATACGTTAAGAGGATACTAAGTCAGATCATACACATTGTTGTAACAAATATATATACAGTAAGTCCCCAATTTAGGTTTTGTGTCATGAACTTTCACAGGCGTGCTGTATAAGACTCACTTTGTTGGCTTACAAACAAATCTGACTTACAAACTATTCTCCCAGAATGGAACTCATTCATAAGTTGGGGACTTACTGAAATTTTTTTTTTTTGGTGTGATCGAACTCAGGTCCTTCCGCTTGCAAGGCAGGTGGCGGAACCACTGAGCTAAATCCTCGGCCCTGAAATTTTAAATATATAATTTTAGAATTTTACAAGAGATGGGCCATAAAGGGTCCTGTACTAAAAAATCAGTACATTACACCAATTTTTCAATGCACAAAAGTCAAATGTCTTAAAAAATTGGTGTTGTTTCTAATTTGCACAAAGATTTTTGACTAGTTAGGGCTCTGTTCTGAATCCTTGATTTTCCAAGACTACCACTAATACCATCCTCCCGAGCTCAATATACCCTGAAATATGAATAACCAAATTCTAGATTTCTACAGGATTTCCAGATCTGATTCTCCTTCAATTATTCATACCAGAGTATTAGTCCTGCCCTTAATCTTTGTGGCTGACCACTTTCTCAAATGTCCTTATCATTACTCTTCTACCAAAGCTCTTACTGAATATACCAATAAAATTTGTATTTATAGTAATAGCTAGGGGCCGGGGATTTAGCTCAGTGGTTCCACTGCCTGCCTCGCAAGCACAAAGTCCTGAGTTCGATCCTAGGTACCAAAACAAACAAGTAATAGCTAACACTTATCATTGTGAAACACTATGTACTCACATACTCTTTGAGAATCAGGTACAATTATTATCTTAACTTCGCATAAGTAAAAAATGAGCTATTCATTAGAGACCAAATGAATACCTAAGGCCAAAAAGTGAATAGTCCAAACAGACACTTGAATCAGCTGATAATCACCATACTGCTTTTATCATGTCTCTCATTTTCCTAAATGAGACTTAAGATTCCAGAGCTAAAGAATAGGTAGGATTTGAATTTGGGCACTCAGGTCTCCAGAGCTCAAGGTTGTAACAGTGTCTCAAGATGCCCCCATTTTCACTTTTACTAACACTCAGTGTTGGTACCGTGTACTACAAAAGATGTAAAAAAATACAATCCATGGAAATTTTCATAAATTTACCAACTAACAAAAATTTTTTTCTTTAGGAAGATGACAATGTAACAGTAGTTTTATAGAGTAGATTACATATTGTAGCAACATGTCGGTTACTTGGGAATACTTAACTCTCAAAGAAAGACAAGATGAGGAATCTTGCCTAAAGCTATTTGGGCAATCAAGCAACACTTCTATACAATACATAGTTGTGTCCTCTCTATGAAACTATTTTATTACGATGCTTCCATATAATTTCACTTGTTTTCAACTTTCCTCTTTTCCTGACCACTAAGTTCCTGGCAAATAAGAGAGATGACTAAATGTTTTCCTTTATGATCTTCTAAAGCCTGGTGTTTGGTAAGCAACTGACACTCTGAAAGTCAAATGGCAAATGTGAAAACAAAAGCACTATACAATTATTAGCACTGTGACACGGCAACTTGGGAATATTTTTAAAAATCAAAAGTAACATGCAAAAGAACGGATGCATTGAAAGAAATAAGGCATGGACAGGACAAAGACTGAGAAGATGCATCTATGTTCAAGAAATACTAACCTAATGTATAAGAGCCCACATGCACTGACATCTGGATTGTCACTGTTGATCCCTCTACCACCCCCAATGAATAAGACATCCCTGAAAGGGAGTCAGCACCCACCAGCCCATCACCAACAATGCCACCTGTTAGCAGCTCTACCTTTTGCTACAGAAGTATAGCCACAAAGACTGATGAAGGTGCCTCTGTCCCTGGCAATGCTGGCAATAAATTAAGGCTAATATTGAACATATATAAGGGCTAGCCAATTCTGATCTTAATACCTGGACTCCTAAACCTATTTTCTTTATTTGTAAAATGAACTGGCACCACAAATACTTTTTTCACATGCTTAAGACTTTACTTTTCACCTTGTCAGTAATGACCATGTCACAGAAGAGTTACACTTTTAAAAGTATGTTTATGCATAAAAAAGGACTGCACACCTGGATAGCCTCCTGAGACCCAACATCTCATTGTCATGAGTGTTCCTGGGAAAGCAGAAACAAACATTACATGTGAAGAGAAATAAAACAAGCAACATTGGAGGATCATGCATAAACCAAATGTGGTTGAGAAAAAGAGGATTATTCAGCCCAAAGGATAAAAATTATAATACTTGGAACATTTCAATATGGAAGACAGAAAGTAGATTTTTGGGTAGAGTGATAGGGGAAAAGAACCTACATCTAGTATATAAAAAGACAATATAATCAATTTTTCTTATACTCTTTGGTATTAAAAAAAATAAGGCAAAGATAGACTCATACACAATAGTTAGTAGTCAAGAAGTACTTGGGAAAATTTGGCCCCAATTTCCTCGGCCAAGCTTAACTTTAACTTCCTGGGTCTGCTGTTTGCTTAACTTCTGGAGAAGTCTATATTATATTACAAAACCCTCTCAACATAACTACTTCTGAAAGGTTCATCATATTGTTTCCTTTGTTATAGACCAAAGTAGGGCAATGAATTTCCTCAGTCTTTTAATATCTTTAATACTTATGCTTGCAAACGCAAACCTGAGTTTGTTCTTTTATTGCTTTGGCAGATGATTTATAGCTGTTCTCTTATTTGTGTTTTTCAGTTTATTACATAAAACACTTCATAGGTAATCTGTTTATACAGAGATTTGTTGTCTGAATTAGGATTTTATCATTTGAAGAATATAAAGCTCAGGGGCCGGAAATTTAGCTCAGTGGTTTCGCCAACTGCCTTGCAAGCGCAAGGACCCGAGTTCGAGCCCTTGTACCAAAAAAAAAAAAAAAAGGAAGAAAAAAGAATATAAAGCTCAGTTTGTTTGTTTGTTTTTTGGTTTGTTGATATTTAAGGAGGTTTTAGGGCAATAAGTTTCATTTAATCTACTTGTGTATCCCACAAACTATAAGCCCCAAAGATCTGTAATTTTTAAGGATCTGACCTGGGCTAATGCTTCCTTAAACTGTTAAGACTCAACTAATTTATGATTTCTCTTCATCCAGTGCTGGCACAAACTGTACCATCACTTTTGCCTCCATTACCTTCTTTTGCCTGAGAAGTTTTTATCTTTGATTGGTGACTGATCTGGCAAACACAGGTGATGCTGAAGTAGAGTTATATAATTATACTCAAAGATGCTCTTGATTTGATGTCTCTGATCTGGTTTCACATTTTTCCTCCGTTGCCCCTGGTATAACAAGGAATTAAGAACTTGGAAGGATGAAATTCACAGGCCAGTAATGGAGGAGGTTCACATCTCAGGGTACATCAATCACTTTAGTTACCATGGGAGAGCACTGCAAAGTTATTTTTGAAGCTAAAAAAAAAAAAAGTTTTTCCCAATGCTCTTTAAAAGAGGGAAAGACAGGATGGCTCCCCTTTTCTAAATTTTTAAAAAATCCTATCTTCTTAGATTGTTTAATGTATGTACAGAACTGTATCAACAGCTACTAATGATTTCTTCAATTTTGAATTTGTCAAATCCTGCTATTAGAGATTAGCTCATTCTTTGTTTAAAGTATCCTTCACAGGTTGAACACTGCTGTAAAGACTGTAAGACAGTTATGCTGAGGGAAAATATGGTGTTTCACAATGATCAAGTCAGAGAAACTCCATGTGGGAGGGGCAGATAAAAGAGATGGTCTTACACAATTCATTAGAGGAGCCCAGCTTCAGAATCTCACAGTAAGGTCCCCCTTCCACAAAACCCATCAGAGAAAGGATTAGGCAAGCTGACAGAAAGGTGAGGAAAAACAAAACAAAAAACAAAAGCACCCAAACAGCTACCTTAATATTTTATGAACTATAAGAAGTTATGACTTGATAATTTACAACCTGACATTCTTAAAATCACAAAGATCAAGTTAACAAGGGAAAACAAAAGAGAACAATGACTTACTTTACATCAGTGGTAGTACCAAATTTCTCCTTACCTTTCCTAATTCATAGTTCATCTTTATAGTTCACTATATTATAGTGAATTATAGAGGGCTGGGGATTTAGCTCAGTGGTTCTGCCGCCTGCCTCGCAAGCGCAAGGACCCAAGTTCGATCCCCGGTACCAAAAAAAAAAAAAACAACAAAAAAACTCCACTATGTAGAAATCATTGTACCTAAATTAGATTTAAGTGGCACTCTTAAAATGTCACCTTAAAAAAATAATATGGATAGTAAAGAGAGTAACATGTTTTGCCAAGCTACATATCACATGTAAGTTGTCATTTGTTTTGTCATTTAAAAGCACTGTAAACAAACAAACAAACAAAAAAGTACTGTAAACAAAAAGAATAAGAAAAAAGCTAATAATCCTAATCTACAAATGAATTCTAGAAGAGGATGTCATTAAATATTTAAAGCTTATAATAGAACTCATACTTTCCACTTTCAAAAAACTTTCTCCCCCTGCATTTATCTAAACTAAACAGGAACTGAGATGGTGCTGACTATGAAAAAAAATATACCTTTTTCTTTTGGCACTACCAGTATCAGAGGTGGCTGAAGAGATCATGCTGTCTCCATCTTCAATGTCATCTCGCCTAGCAAGCTCTTTCTTCTTTGCCTAAAACAGAGCAGATCCTGGGAGTCAGGCTCACTTTTCTGAGCACTCCTATGAATATATGATGTTAAAGGGCTAGATATACTATATTCATTCAGAAAACCACATGTAGGATGCACAATAGAGTCATTAAATATTTTTAATAATCTAGATCAATAAAAGCCAGCACACAGAAAAGCAGGTTAAAAAAATGGATCTAGAGTTGAATCAATGTTAACTAGAGTATTTAAGAATACGAAGAGTGTCAGCTGGTTAAAAGCACTGAGAAAAGTTGTAAAGTCATCCTGCTCTGGCAGTTACATTTAAATTACACCAACTCAAAGGAAGCCTTTGGTACTCCTGACTTCTAAAGTACAATGTGGCTGAGAATATAGTTTAACATGAGCAATTAAGGAAGATCTAAGTTCCAAAACATGCATTTTTGAAGACTTTCTACCAAAGACGGCTAAAGGTTCAACCACAGCAGGCTTAGGTAAATATATACACAATACTGTAAAGAAAACATTTGAAATTCATAGCACTAAAGATTACAGTGTTGGTCATTATAAAATGAAGGTTCTATGGGTTATCTAAAATTGTCTGTTGCTTCCTTACTCAAAGACTGTCTTTCTAGAAGGATTCTACCAAAAACTGTGAGAGTCTGAGGCAGGAGGGTCATGGTTTTGGGCCCAGTCCAGGCAATTTAATGAGACCCTATCTCAAAATTAAAACTAAAAACAGGCTAAGGATGTACCTAGTAATGCAACAAAACAAACAAACAATGCCCCCCCCCAAACATAAAAACAGAACCTAAAAAAACAAAAGTGTGAGACAGACCAACTTGTATTTCACATTTACCTTTTGGTCTTATAAGCAGATGACAAGTAACCTCAGATGCCCTTGAAGGACTATCAGAAAGGAACTCTTGGGGCCGGGGATTTAGCTCACTGATGCAGCTGCCTGCCTCGAAAGCACAAGGTCCTGAGTTTGCTCCCCGGTACCACCAAAAACAAAAAAAGAAAGGAACTCTTGGACACTATACAATAATTAATTTGTTTGCAGATGCCCTTTCTTCTAGAACAGCCCTATCTTAATTGAGACAAAGTCTAGAACCAAAGGGATAAAATCTAAATGAGGGAATATTATTTGGGATTAAAGAGTAATTTTCCAAGAATCCTAAAGTTAACCCCAAGGAACAAAACCATGCTTCCTCCATTTACAAAGCTTAATCTTTCTAAACTATTACTTCTCTTCTACATGGCCATGGCTGAAAAAAATGTTTAGCAGTAACTGTTGAAATCAATGACCTGATATTGCTGGGGGGAAACCACACATCTTAAAAGAACATGTGAAACACATGAAATTATTTCAATGAGACATACAACAAACTTAGCAAAATCATACCTAAGAAATCATACCTGCATGACCTGCTGCAATTTTAGAACTCGCTTATAGATGGCTGAATTGGGAACATTGTAGCGTTTGGCATTTTCAAACATTAAATTCAGATCACATTCCAAATGATCTAAGGTTTCATATTCTTGGTTCTTTAGCTTTGTTCTGTGAAAGACAAACAAATGGCTAGAACTTTCTATCATGAAAATTATAAAACATTATTCCTGAAAGTCTTGACAAACATTACATGGCATCTTTACTAGTGATAATGATTAGGGGACTAAAAAAAAGTAGTAAAAAAGAAAGAAGTAGTGGCAATACCATTAAGAAGCATTTGGAATAGTATATTTACCTCCAGGGAAGATACACATGAAAAGTAAAGAGAGATCTTATGATAGTAAATGAGATGAAGATTTGTAAGAGTTCATTCACTACAACTTCCTCAAATATATAATCACTTTTAATGAAGTATGATGGCTTAAAGCTGAGGTTTCAGCTTATTTAAAAAGTTTTAAGAATTCAGACATCTTAAAATACTATTTCGTTTTTTTTTTTTTGGTACCGGGGATTGAACTTGGGACCTTGTGCTTTCGAGGCACGTGGCAGAGCTAAATCCCCAGCTCTTAAGATACTATTTCTATTATTAATACTAACTCTCAGAAAGATTTTATGTATTTTGTACAAAGTGAAGAGTCACGGCTTGTTTTAACTCTATGAATCTAGACAGAATAAACGTTAAAATCTTTTGATTGAAGGATCTGCATATTAATCATCAAAATAAAACAGTATTAAGAATGACTGAAGGGCCGGGGATCTAGCTCAGTGGTTCCACTGACTGCCCTGCAAGCGCAAGGACCTGAGTTCGAACCCCGGTACCAAAAAAAAAAAAAGACTGAAAATATATAAAAACAGCTTCACTGAGTAAATGTAGAGAATTAAAACTTTCTCTTAAAACGGCACTGTCCATCTGGTATATATCATTTTACTTAAAATTTACCAAAACTCATATTCAGATTCTGCATAGTGCTTAAGAAGATAAAAATATTACAGAATATTTCTGCGAGGAAGCAAAAACTAAGCATAAATTCAGTTCTCAGTACCAGCTTACATAGCTAGCACCAGGTCTTAAATTATACCCTAAGTTTCATTCCTACCAACTCAAAGAGGAGAGTGCTAGGTGTTCTCAACACTCACAGAGAACAGAGAATCCAAACTTATAAAACACAACTTCTAATAGACACACAAATATTTTTCAAACTAATGATAATTAAGAGTACAAAGGGAAGGAATGGGAAAAATGGAAAATAAAACATAGTAGTGACAAACCCAGCATACGGTGGAAAGTGACCTGAGGAACCATGCTATCTATCTCAAGCTCTGTTGTGTGTGTGTGTGTGTGTGTGTGTGTGTGTGTGTGTTAAGCTGAGATCTGAGATTCACACTAAGCATTCTACCACTGAGCAACCTCCCTAATCTCAATCTTTCATTCTCTGCTGCTTTTGGGGACATGTAACTATGCCAACAAATCTTTCTAGGGTTATATTGTATGCAATATGATAAAAAAAATATGGTGAATACTTAACCTTAAAAATTTTTATTACAATAAAAGACACTGCCATTAATTCCCCAGTGGTTCCTCGGTTCCCAAACTCGATTCTTTCCATGATTCTGCTTGCTGAGTTGGATGAGAACTGAATCAAATTCAATGGTTAGGTTCAATTTTGACCTTATAGAGATATTTGATTCAGTTCTTGTCTAGTTTGGTTTGTGGCCAGAATTGTAGACAGAACTGAGTTAGTGAACTAAGGTACTACTGTACTTCCCCCTTGTTTTGAACACACTTATCTCATGGTTCTTGCCTCTTTCTGAAGCAGTTCTGAAGTCTTCTTTTCAAATTTTTAGATGCACTGTTAAAACTGTCTCACTGTCCTGAATCAATTCAAAATGTTTATCTTTCATGGTCATTTTGATTTTTGGTACCGGGGATCGAATTCAGGACCTTGCACGTTGGAGGCAGGCAAGGTGCCACTGAGCTAAATCCCTGGGCTGTCATTTTGACTTTTGAGAAGAGTCACAAGTAATAGGGTACCAGATCCAGTGAATAAGATTGATAAGGATATATCATAATGTTTTACTTGACAGAAACTGCTGTAAATGGAAATTTTTAAGTACTTCACAAAGACACAAGAATGATGGGATAAATGTGTCTGAAGCACAGGAGTACATTTTAAAGGGGACTGTTATGGCTTCTGTCTTGATGTCCCCCCAAAGCCCTCATCCAGTCATATGTGGAGCTTTTTCTGGAATTGATTCATGGTGCAATGCTATGCTAGGGCACTAGGATTGAGGGTGTGGGTGTCACCCATCCTAAGTAATCTGCATAAAATAAAAGGGGCAGAAAGACTCTGTTGAGGGTCCCTCCCTCTTCCTTTGTTGCCTTTGCTGTTTTCTGCTGCCATGAACTGTTGCCTCTCTGCCATGTGCCACCCTGCCTTGGAGCCAGCCAATTACGGACTGAAACTTCTACAAACTGTAGCTAAATAAACCTTTTCCTCTTTAACTTTGGGTGTTGGGTATTTTGTCTCATCAATGAGAGAAAATTAAGTAACACAGGGATTAATGGCAATGTGTCTTTGCAGTGCAATAAATGAAAAAAATGTTTTTATTGTTTTTGTTTTTGGTACCAGGGATTGAACTCGGGTCCTTGTGCTTGAGAGGCAGGCAGAGGAACCACTGAACTAAATCCCTGGCCTGCCCAAAAAATGTTTTTAAATATTCACCATATATTTTGAACATGCTTCATATACCATGCAGCAGCCACTAATTACATGTGGCTACTGAAATTAAAATTAAATTTAAAATCAAGTCCCTTAGTTGTGCTAGCCACATTTCAAGTGCTAGTCAGTGTGACTAGTGACTTTTATCATATTGGACAATACAGGTAATACAAGATTTTTTGTTCCTGGAAGAAAGTTCTACTGGATAGCATTACTCCAGACTGCTGTTGCTCTGTAGAATACAATGGGAGCCCAGGCACAGCAAGGTTCCTGTCAGACATAAAGGGCTCTGAGACCTTAGAAATGATCAAATAGCCTAAATGCTGACTTTTCAAAACTTTAGTGTGGCCAGGTGTGGTGGCACACACATTCTGGAGGCTGATACAGGACGACTGCCACGAGTTCGAGGCCAGCCTGGGCTGAATAGTGAGTTCAAGGCCAGCCTGAACTACACAGCAAGACCTTGTCTAAAAAACCAAAAGGGGAAGAAAAGAAAACCCAAAACAAAACTTAAGTGTGCTACCAGCTAGGCCTCAACCACTTCCTATTTATCATTCTTTGCCAGTATGCCACACATATCCCACAGTAAAAGGGAAAGTGTTCTGCAAAATTACAGACTTAAAGTTTTAAAAATTCCAACTTGGAAGAAAGTTGTGGCAGGGGACTATATTGGCTGAGGGTTTAATTCAGCTTCCTCTTTTTTTTTTTTCCCTTAACTAATTAGGCTATCAGAAGTAAAAACAAAGAAATGAATGCAAAAAGACATGGAAGACAAAGTATTCAACTGAAAGGGAGCTTTACAACAAATATGAGACTATCACTATCTTTTCCAAGGCAAAGAATATGAAAGATAAATTTCTAGGCTATTTTCCTAATAAATGTCAGCTTCGATTTCTGCATTATTTTAGCAGAGCCAAATAAACCAATTTTCTATATTCTTTTTGTATAAAAGAACTCCAATGACTGGATTAAAAAAATAATAAATCTTAATAATCAAGTAACTAAAATAGAAGTTCAAATGTGAAATCATTAAACATGATGCTAGTCAATCTTACTTCCCCAAATCCAGCAAGTACCAGTATCTTAATTCTTGCTACTTGGAAGCTTATTTCCCATGAAGACTAAAGATATCAGCTTACTCTTGCCTTGCCCAGTTATTTTTACCTACTTCTTGTTTCCAGCTGGGTGACCTAACAGACAGCATGGTAGGAATTACAAAGTATCATACTTCATATTACTTATTTCCTTCTCTTTTTTTTTGGTACTGGGGATCGAACTTGGGACCTTGTGGTTGTGAGGCAGGCACCGGAACCTTTTTTTTTTTTTTTTCTGTCCCCCTCTTTTAAACTTAAATTAATAAGAAACCACTACAGGGTCAATTATCTTATTATCAGTTTTCTATTCTTTTACACACAAAAGTCTTTCAAATTTTGATTTCTAGAAAGCACTTCAAGTATCTTTGAAAATTTATGAGAAGATGTAAGAAAGGAACTTGAAATATACTGGTAATACTAAGATTCACAGACACTGATTAAATTAGGATGGAAAAAAATTAGGATGGAATGCAAACTAAGTTTTTAAAGCCATTTACTTGATTCCAGATTAGGATTTTGTTACCTTTATTCTTTCTTTTCCTCTTTTTTATTTTTTTGAAGTGTCAAGAGATTGACCCTATGGCCCTGTACGAGCTAGGAAAACACTCTCCAGTCCTTTTTGTCCTTTTGGAAAATTTATTTTCAGACAAGGTCTTGCTAAATTGCCCAGCCTAGCCTTGAAATTGAGATCCTCCTGCTTCAGCCTACGAAATAGCTGGGATTAAGATGTGTGCCACTACATAGGGCTGAGGATTTAGCTCAGTGGCACCCCGCCTGCTTTGCAAACCCAAGGTCGTGAGTTGTATCCCTGGTACCAAAAAAAAAAATGTGTGCCACTATACTCAACTTTTTATTTTTTTAAATGAACTTCTGGGCCTGGCTAGTGAGGCCTCATTAGCCACACTGAAACTATATATAACATGTAACTTTGTGTGTGTGTGTGTGTGTGATGTTAGGAATCAAACTCAGGGCCTCATGTATATTAGGCAAGTATTCTACCACTCAGCTACATACCTAGCCAGCCCATTAGCCAATTTTTTGCAGTATTATTAATTCTTTAGAATGTTTCCACTTTTTATGATCCTTTGAGAATACTGATCATTTATCCTCAACTTTTAAATTGGGTCAGGATCTACTTAAAAGCCGTATTTTTGTGTCTCTGATAAGTACTGTTCAGCTTCCACACATGTAATAGCCCAAATTATATATTCCTTTGCCAATATCACTATTTTTCAGTTGATTCAGAAGAGATAAAAAGTAAGTATGAGCCTGGTGTGGTGGTCCACGCCTGTAATCCCAGCACCTGGGAGGTGGAAGCAGGAAGATATTTGCAAGTTTGAGGTCACCCTGGGCTATACAGTTAGTTCAAGGCCAGCCTGAACTACACAGCAAAACTTTGTCTCAAAAAAAAAAAA